CTTGAACTCAACGCTGCCTTCCATTCTATACTCAGACGGATTTCAAAGCACCAAATTCAAGTGGTTTCCAGGTCTGCTATTTTAGCCGTGTGCTTTAAGGTTTAAAGATACCAAGTTGCTTTTAATTTAAAAATAGCATTAGTCATTGTTATAGAAATGATACCAAGAACAAAATTACCTATAAGAAACAAGTTGCGCAACCCTAAGACGATTTCGTCGCCTCTTGTTTTCTTCGTAACTTACTCATCCATCCAAATGATTGAATGGATATAATTTCCTCCAACCCATATCTAAGACCTGCTTCTTTATACATAAAATGTGTTGAGTAAATGTTCCTTATTCTTATAGCATGGAAATAGCTCATCCAGATTTTGAGTGGGTCTTGCATGGTGGTAGTATCAAACTGAGAGAAGTGAATGATGGGATAGAGGGAGAGTACAGATAGATATACCTAAGTATTGTACCCTCTAAGAGATGACCCTATACAGTCTATGCAAACATAACAAATACACATGTTTGACACACCCCCTAGACTGCATAGGGGAATGTTCTAAACAAGCAGCTCAGGGCGGCACTACTAGTCCAACCTCTGAGACAAGGGTCTAAGAGACCAGTCAGAAGTAGTACAGACAAGGCGAGAATAAGACCAGGGCGGTACTACTAGTCCAGCCACTGGGAGAGGACACAAGTCCAGTCTGAGTATACATATAAAGGACAGTACAAAGTCAAGGCCCTAGCAAGTGAGAGGCTACAGGAACTAGACCAAGCTGTACACAGTGCCGCTGATGATCTTTAGGCGCAAGCGCCTTCGTAAAGATATCAGCTGTATTGGCACCTGAGGCCAAGTGTACTACGCGAGCCTGACGTCGCTGCTGTAGCTCACGCAGGAGGAAGTACCGCAGCTGAATATGCTTCGCTCTGCCCTCGAGTCGAGGCTCCTGACACAGGAGAATCATGGCCCTGTTGTCAGCGAACAGGACCGGGGCAGAGCTAGGCCGCTCACCTAAGTCAGTGAGCAAGAAGGTCAGCCAGCGGAGCTCCTGTGCCGCCATGGCACCAGCGTAGATCTCAGCCTCACAGCTGGACTGGGCAAGAGACGAGGAGCGGGTAGCTCTCCACGAGACGGCACCTGAGCCAAGGCTGAAGCAGTAGTCCTGGGTAGACCTGAGTGTCTCGGCGCATCTGCCCACGAAGCGTCTGTGTGTCCAGTAAGGACCACTGGCCTGCGTCCTCCTAGCACTAACCCCATGCCCAATGTACTAGCAAGATAATGCAAAACCCTCTTAGCGGCAGACCAGTGCTGCGGCCGGTGTCTGCCTGTGGCCACAAAGCGAGCCAGGATGCTGAGAGCGTATGCGAGATCTGGGCGAGTGCAAGTCATCAGGTACATGAGGCAACCCACCAGCTCTGCGTAGGGGCCGCTGGGCTCTACCAACTCCTCAGACACTGGAGCGGAGAGCCTGTGGTCTACAGGCAGAGGGGTGGGCTGTGCAGAGGAGAACTGAAGGCTGAACCTCTGAAGGACCTGGCGCACCAAGTGTGACTGAGTCAGGGTGATGGTGCGCGATGCTCTGTCCCTGGAGATCTGCAAGCCAAGGTAGTGGCGCAGTTCTCCAAGGTCAGTGCACGTGTGTCTCTTCAGCAGCTCTGCCTTCACGGAGGCCAGTGCGTCCCTGTCTGCTGTGGCAAAGACCAGGTCGTCGACGTAAACAAGGATGTAGAACGGAGTCTGGCCAGCACGAACGAAGAGTGAGGGGTCTGCGGAAGACGGAAAGAACTGCAGGTCAGCAAGCGTAGCACGGAGAGTGTCATGCCACTCACGGGGAGCCTGGCGCAGGCCGTAGACGGGGCGCCGCAGGAGCCACTGGGTCCCAGGAGGGAAGGTGCCAGCAAAGCCCTGAGGACGACGCAAGTAGACCTGCTCGTGTAGGCTGCCCTGAAGGAAGGCAGTGGAGAAGTCGAGGGAGTGAAGCTCGTAGTCACGCTGAGCAGCTAGGTGTAACAGAACCCGAAGAGTAGTCATCTTCGGGGTCGGAGCGAAGGTCTGGAAGAAGTCCACCCCCTCACGCTGACTGAAGCCTCTAGCCACATAGCGCGCCTTGAACACAGGCGGCTCTCCAGGAGGGCGCTTCACCTTGAAGAGCCAGCGGCCATCGACTACGTTCACCCCAGGCGGGGGAACTGCGTCGACGAAGGTGCCGGTGGATCTCCAAGATGCCATCTCCTGCTCCATGGCAGCTATCCACTGCGAGGCCCAGGGTCCCGAAGTCGCCTCAACGTACGTGCGAGGGGTCGGAATGTCGAAAGCGTCTGGGTCACCCTCAGGGACTAGCAGCATGGAACAGAGATGGGGAGCAGCCTCGGACAGGAAAGCAAGCTCGAACTGGCGGTCCTCCAGGACGTCACTGCCAAGGGCAGGAGCACCCCCGACAGACGGAGGACAGGCAGGGTCAGAGACCAGAGCTGTGGCGTAGTCAAGGCGGCGGGTAGAGGCGAAGTCAGCGACCGCAGCGACAAGAGCGTCAAGGCATGAGACCGGAACAGACGGTTCAGTAACGAGAGAGGCAAGGACCCGAGGAACAAGAGGACGAGCGGCACGAAGGTAGTCAGAGAGCGGGGGGGGTGCAACTACAAGGGAGGACAGAGGAGGCGAGGGCAGAAGGGGAGGACGAGACGCGTGGGAACGAAGCAACATAGGGTGGGAGCGCAAGACAGGCGAGGCAGGACAAGCACGGGAGGGACGGTGAGACCAGACGTGCGGCGGAGGAGTCAGGTCAGGAGACAGGGGAGGGGACACAGGAGGGGAACGAGGGGGAAGACGGGACGGGGACGAGTCCGGCGGAGGGAACACAGGGCCGTAGACAGGAAGAGGAGGAGACGGTCGGAGAGGAACAGACGCAGGGTTGGGGGACGGAAGGCCGAGCAGGCGAAGGGCTGACACCGGCGGGGACTGCTGCTGCGGCGGCACAACGGTGACACCTGGACCGCAAGCGGCTCCTCAGCTACCACCGGCACACTCCACACCAGCACCCCCAGAGTGACCACCCCCAGTGCGACCGGGACGAGCACCCCCAGAGTCAGCAAACGGGTGCTGCGACGGCGGCGGCAGCGGCAGAGGCGGTGGAGGAGGGGACTGGGGAGGGGACGTCGGGGGAGGGGCGGCCGGCGAGGACTGCGCAGCAGGGCCACCAGAGTCAGAAGACTCCTCAACCGGGTCTACCTACGGGAGGGGGGTGACGTGGGACACACCAGAGGGGGCAGGACGGGGAGGAGGAGGAGGAGGGGTTGGGACTACCAGGGAAGGAGTGACCAGGAACAGGGGGGGGGTAACCGGGGGACCGCGGTGGGTGAAGCGACGGTAGTAGGAGACGGACTTGTCAAAGGTGACGTCGCGAGAGTGAAAGAAGCGGTGAGACGGCGGGTGGTAAAAGTGCCAGTCGGACGCGTCAAGGGGAAAACCGAGGAAGACGCAGGGAAGGGTGCGGGCAGTGAGCTTGTCCGTGCCGGAGGCACAGACGTGAGCAAGGCAGCCCCAGACGTGGAACGCAGACGCGTCACCAGGAGACCCAGTCCAAAGACGGGTCGGCGAAACCTGCGGCTGCTGAGGGTGCGGCCACAAGTTAAGCTGGTGAGAAGCGTAGCGCACAGCGAACGGCCACAGAAAATGGGGTGCACCGGCATGGATCATGGAGGTGCGAGCCACCTCCATGACCAAACCGATGCGTCGCTCAGTGACCCCATTCTGCTGTGGGAAGTCCGGTAGGGTGAATGTCTGGGTGATGCCCTCCGCACGACAAAAGCGACCAAGGACACCTGAGGCAAACTTGCCACCACGGTCTGAGTGAAGACGCAAGACAGGGAGACCGCGGTGGACACGCGCAGAGACAAGCCAGGGGATGAGAGCGCCAGGCACGTCGGCCTTACGCTCCAGGGGAAAGACTGTGGTGTAACGAGTGAAGTCGTCGACAAGGACAAGGAACTAGTGCTCTTGACGCGGCCCAGGGACGGGGGCGGGGCCCCAGATGTCCAGGTGCAGGGAGGGGGGGGGGGGGGGGGGGACAGGGATGAGCGCAGGGGCCGGGCATGGCGCAACGGGACCGGGCGGGTGCGACGGGGCCGGGCCGGTGCGACGGGGCCGGGCCGGTGCGACGGGGCCGGGCCGGTGCGACGGGGCCGGGCGGGTGCGACGGGGCCGGGCGGGCGCGACGGGGCCGGGCAGGCGCGACGGGGCCGGGCAGGTGCGACGGGGCCGGGCCGGTGCGACGGGGCCGTGCAGGTGCGACGGGGCCGGGGGCGAGTGCGACGGGGCCGGGCGGGCGCGACGGGGCCGGGCCGGGTGCGACGGTTCCTGAAGGCTGGACGGGGCCCAGGAGGGCCCACCAAAATGTATCATCTTTTAATCATGATGGATATGCCTTCTTTTGTAATTGTTTCACAGGAACAGGCTGCCCTGGCTAATATCGAGCTTCCCCTCACCCGCGGCCAAATCAATCCACCTTGCCGCCATCGCCTCAGCTAATCATAGCAGCTTAGAAGATCTGTTTCTGTTACGATATTTCCGGAACTGTGCGGTTCTCATCCGCCACTGCACATTCGCCTACCTCTCGTCGCTCCACGTGGTTTGGCGGATCATTTCATTCTGGCCAGCCTGGAGCCCTCTGCTTCATTCAGCATGCCCGGGCCGGGGCGGAGGTCCGGCCCAGACCAGCTTCCGTTTGCTTCGGGCCCTCGAATCTGCCGCAGCTCTGTCGCTGTGTTTGAGGAGGGCCTCAAACGCACACCCAGGCCTCCTCCCTCGACGCGCCGCATCTTGACAAACCCCTGCCGTACCTCGCCCTTACCAAACTTCTGAAACCGAGGCTCCACTTAGGCTCGGAAATCGGAACCCGAACCCGATGTCCTAGTGTGCAATCTTGGCACACACCTCTCCTGCTGTGCCCCTCCTCTCTACGATCCATGCCCCTAGGGTCTAGTCTAGTCATCCTGCTTTGCATTTGCTCTCTATTTTTATCATCCTTTTCTTTGATAGAGGCGTCCTCGGGGCAGCAACACTTCGTCCGTCCCTAGTGGGCTGCTGCTCCTGCCGTACCTCCTGGATCGAAGGCAGACGCGTCTCGTCTCCTCCGTCCTGCTATCGCCGTGTCAGATCCCCAGCCCTAGGCATTCATCACCGGCTGGTCCTGTTACGGTTCGCGTTTCCTCTGTCACCGTCCCTGTCAGTGTTGCACTGTTGCTTAGTGCTGCTGAGTGTTGCTCAGTGCGCCTCAGTGTTGCCGACATGGCATCCGTAACTCTGGGCATGGCGGCCTGTGCTCCCGCGCTCCGCTGTAAGCCCACCTCGAGCGCCACGTGCGTCAGCAGCGGCGAAGCGCTGGCAGAAGCGCGGCTAGGCGCGCACAAATCCGCCCTGAGAATCCACAGCAGCGGGAATGCCGCGGCCCAATGGAACCCGCTTTCGTCGAGCAGAAGCAGATCGGCATGCAGATTCGCGGCGCCGTGCAGCAGCCAAGGAGTGGCTAGTCGACGACGCGCGGCGTGGCGAGTACAGGCGTCCGCGTCGGAACCGCCGTCTGATGCGAAGAGCGACGCGACTAGTGCCAGCAGCGAGAGCAGTGACATCAGCAGCGGCGTGAGCACTCCTGGAGTCACATCGGAACAATACCAGGTGAGTGCAGCCGTGCGTTCACGGGTTGTCGATCCGTCGGGTAAGGCATGGGAAAGACTGTAAGGGAACTGTTCGGAGTGAAACCCTGAAACGCGCGACTTTGGAGTATGAGATGATAACGCACGTCGGCGATATAGCTCAAGAGCGGTCGCATGCCGTCGCTATCGCGTGCCGGTCGAATCGCATGGTGTTGAGTCGGGATCCATGCTGCCGAGCCAACATTCCGACCGTCCGATCCGATCGGAATTCCTGGATTCGATCCTCCTCCCCTCCCCCCCCCCCCTCTCCCCTCTCTTTCCTCTCCCCCCCCGCCTGCCCCTCTTCTCCCCCATCCGTCCCCCCACCCCCTCTCCTCCCCCTTCTTCCCAATCTCCCCGCGCAGATGCTTCTGGATCCGCGCGCGTCGGAGGGTGCGTGCGACCCGCTGTGTTCGATCGACGAGATGTCGTACGAGGAGTACGAGGAGGTGCAGGGCCAGGAGAAGAGCGACAACATCAAGGCGCTCGTCCTCGCCGCCACCATCGCCATCGGCGCCGCCGCCATCAACCTCGAATGGGTCGAGGCGCACCAGGTGAGTGAGCTGGCAGGTTGATCCCACCAGGTGAGTGAGCTGGCAGGTTGATCCCACCAGGTGAGTGAGCTGGCAGGTTGATCCCACCAGGTGAGTGAGCTGGCAGGTTGATCCCACCAGGTGAGTGAGCTGGCAGGTTGATCGCACCAGGTGAGTGAGCTGGCAGGTTGATCGCACCAGGTGAGTGAGCTGATAGGTTGATCGCACCAGGTGAGTGAGCTGGCAGGTTGATCGCACCAGGTGAGTGAGCTGGCAGGTTGATCGCACCAGGTGAGTGAGCTGGCAGGTTGATCGCACCAGGTGAGTGAGCTGGCAGGTTGATCGCACCAGGTGAGTGAGCTGGCAGGTTGATCGCACCAGGTGAGTGAGCTGGCAGGTTGATCGCACCAGGTGAGTGAGCTGGCAGGTTGATCGCACCAGGTGAGTGAGCTGGCAGGTTGATCGCACCAGGTGAGTGAGCTGGCAGGTTGACCGCACCAGGTGAGTGAGCTGGCAGGTTGACCGCACCAGGTGAGTGAGCTGATAGGTTGATCGCACCAGGTGAGTGAGCTGGCAGGTTGATCGCACCAGGTGAGCGAGCTGGCAGGTTGATCGCACCAGGTGAGTGAGCTGGCAGGTTGATCGCACCAGGTGAGTGAGCTGGCAGGTTGATCGCACCAGGTGAGCGAGCTGGCAGGTTGATCGCACCAGGTGATCTGTGCCATGACCGTAAATCGGCCCTCAATTGGAGCGATCGCAAGCAATCGCAGATGTGGGAACGATCGCAGATCTGGGAACGCTTAATACTGTTCTGGGGCACTTGGGTTGAGCAGAAGGGCGGATCGGTGTGCGACGAGAAAATTGCCGATATAAGTACGCCCCTTCCCGCACCACCTCACTCTCCCCCTCTCTTCTCTCCCCAATCTCCGCACCCGCGCGTTGGCCTCCCCTCGCCACTCCCCCCCCCCGCCCCTTCAGGACATCAGGATGTGGGTGCTGTTCGTGCTGGGGTACGCGGGCACGTGTGAGACATCAGAATGCGTTTCTCAACCTCCCCACCCACCCTGCTCCTTCCTCCCTCCCCCCCTCCCCCCCCCTTCCCCCCAGGACATCACGATGTGGGCGGTGTCCGTGCTGGGGTACGCGGGCATCATCGTCGAGGAGTCGACTGCCAATAACCTTCCCCTTCCCCCTTCCCCCTCTCCCCCCTCGCTCCCCCCCACCCCTCGGCCCCATGCAGGACATCACGATGTGGGCGGTGTTCGTGCTGGGGTACGCGGGCATCATCTTCGAGGAGTCGTTGGCGTTCAACAAGGCGGGCGTGGGGCTGCTCATGGCCGTCGCGCTCTGGGTCATCCGCGACGTCTGCGTGAGTGAAACCACTGCCGTCGATGCCGTCGGTGTGGAATCCAATGCCGCGCTCCCACTCTCCCTGCCTCTCGCTCTCTCTGACTGACTGGGTCGTTGCGCGATTCAAGCACCGTTTGCTCTCCCCACCCGTCTTTCCACTCGTCCACCACTTGCGGCCGCCTCCCCTCCTTCCTCTCACGTCTACCCCTATCTTCCCCCCATCCCTTGGCCTCACGACCACGACCCGCTTCCGCACTGGCAGGCCCCCGCGCAGGGCCTGGCGGTGGCGGAGCTGTCGCACCACTGCGGGGAGGTGGCGGAGATCGTGTTCTTCCTGTGGGGCGCCATGACGATCGTGGAGATCGTGGACGCGCACCAGGGCTTCAAGCTCGTGACGGACGCCATCCAGACCAGGAACTCCAAGAAGCTGCTCTGGATGGTGCGACTCCCGGGGGGTGGCGCGGGGTGTGGGGTGGGTTGATTGCTAGTGTTGTGTGCTAGTGTGTGTGCGTGAGTAAGTTCGTGTGCTGGGCTGTGCTGTGTTGTGCTGTGCTGTGCTGGGCTCTGCCGGACTGTCCTGGGCTAGGCTGGGCCGTGCTGGGTTGTGCATTACAGGCGTGCACAATATTGCCACCATGGTATCATTTGTAGACTGAACACACGTGCGCGCGTGTGTGTGTGTGTGTGTGTGTGTGTGTGTGTGTGCGTGTGCGTGTGCGTGTGCGTGTGCGTGTGCGTGTGTGTGTGTGTGTGCGTGCATGACACACGATGCAGGTGGGCGGCATCACCTTTTTCTTGAGCTCCATCCTGGACAACCTCACGTCCACCATCGTGATGGTGTCGCTGCTGCGCAAGCTCGTGCCCGACCCCGAGCGCCGCCGCTTCCTGGGAGCCGTGGTCGTCATCGCCGCCAACTCGGGAGGCGCGTGGACGCCCATCGGGGATGTCACCACCACCATGCTGTGGATCCACGGCCAGATCTCCACCGTCAAAACGATCACGGTGAGTTGTGAGACGTCTCTGAGAGCTACCTTGTTTATCCCTGGGCGCGCTTCCGGCTCGTCGAAACCATCACTATGAGTGCCGCCTGGCCAAGGAACTAGTGTGAGGGGTAGGGAACAAGTTTCTTCCTACAAGTTCCGTCACTGGGCCGTCCGTTGGTGTGTGCATCTGTGCACCGAGGAAGCTCTCCTCGGCATCTTGAAGCTGATGTTACATGCGAGTGCACAGGAACGGAGTGCCTGCGTGTGCATATCGCCCACTCAAACTGCGTAGTTTCTCCCTTGCTTTCTCCTCCCCTTGTCTCCTCTCCTTCCCTCACCTCTCCCATTTCTCTGCATTCCCCTACGATTTCCTCTCTCCCCCATTCCGCAGGACCTCTTCTTCCCCTCGCTGGTCTCCCTCGCCGTGCCACTCGCTCTCCTCTCCTTTGACAAGTGAGCGCTACTGCCCCGCCCCCGATCCCCTACTCTCTTCTCTTTCCTCCTCCACCTTTTCTCTTCTCACCTACCCCCTCTCCCGTGCTCGCCTCTCCTTGCGCTTGCACCCGTTCCCTCCCTTCCCTTTGCTTGCTGTTTTGAGGCGCCTCAAAGCTGTTTCTTCTCTAGCTCTGAACCTGCTGGGCCGCTGCTCCTTAACAAACCCTCCCCCTCACCCTCTGTGTCTCCACCTGCTAGCCCCTATCCTTCCAGTCCCCCCCGTGCCCTGCCGTTGGTCGGCTCCCTCCTTCCCCCACGCCCACCCCTCTGCCGAGACTCACGCTTTACCCCCTCCCTCTTCCGGCCCCCTTTCCCCCCCCCCTACCATAACCAAGTCCCTGTTGGGTGACTGCACCCAAATCAACATTCGCCAACGAGGCCGCGGCTCCTCCATGCGCCATGCACTGTGTCCCACTTCCTTCTAGCCCATCTCCGCACCCCCCTCTCCTCTCCACCCTGGTGGACGACAGCACCAAGTGTCGCCTTGTTGCTGTCGTCAACAAGGCGACAGCAGCCAAGTCGACATTCGCCAACGAGGCTGTGCCCATAGCCGATGGCACGTCCGTGCACACGACGCTCTGTATCTCGGTGTATCCTCTCCATGCCCACTGTATCCTCTCTGCTGCCTCCCCTCCCATCCGTCCCCCCCCCCGCCCCCCCCCGCCCCCTCTCCCCCTCCAGGTCCCTGGTGGGTGACAGTGACAAGGCGGCGGCAGCCAAGTCGACATTCGCCAACGAGGCCATGGCGCCGCGAGGGCGGCTGGTGTTTGGCGTGGGCATCGGGTCGCTCATCTTCGTCCCTGTCTTCAAGGCGCTCACCGGCCTCCCGCCCTACCTGGGCATGCTTGCAGGTATACGTTGTGTGCTTACGGTTGTCTAATCACTCTTACCCTGGATCCACATCCGCTGCACTCCTTTGTCAACGCCAGGCCTGGGCGCACTGTGGCTGCTCACAGGTGCTATGTTATTCACTGCATCCTCGCCTATACGCATCCACGTGACGCCCTAAAACCCCTTCTTCCTCCATCACTGCCCGCTACCTCGCTCTGCTGTGCTCTGTCCCGCCAGGTCTGGGCGCGCTGTGGCTGCTGACGGACGCGATCCACTACGGGGAGAGCGACCGGCAGCGGCTCAAGGTGCCGCAGGCGCTGTCGCGCATTGACACGCAGGGCATCCTCTTCTTCCTGGGCATCCTGCTGTCCGTCGGCAGGTGAGTTGTGATGGGTGTACTGTGTGCGCATCCATGTGCGTGCGTGGGCACTTGTATGTTGAGGGTGGCTGCTCTCAGATGTTACCAAGCATTGACACGCAGGGCATCCTCTTCTTCCTGGGCATCCTGCTGTCCGCGGGCAGGTAGGCTAGGCTGTGATGGGTGGGCCGTGATGGGTGTGTTAGTGTGCACATGCATGTAAGTGCATGTCTGTGCATGTGTGTATGTGAATGTGTGTATCCATGGGTGTTGAGGGTGGCTCATCTCAGGCGCCGTCCCGCACTGACACTCAGTCCAGTTTTGCCTTGCGGGGATCCTGCCGTCCGTGGGCAGGGCGGAACCCAGTGCTGCTGCTGCTGGTTACCCTATTCCCTGTTACCCTCTTTCCCATCCCCAACTTACCGTTACCCTGTGCCCCTGTCCCCCTTCTGCAGCCTGGAACTGTTGGAAGTCTATTTATGCATCCTGTCCCCCTTATGCAGCCTGGAGGCGCGTCAGAAATAGACCCCTGTGCCCCTGTCCCCCTTATGCAGCCTGGAGGCGTTGGAAGTCTATTTTTTAGGCGCCTAAAAAGTAGACCCCGTGTGCCCCTTTCCCCCTTATGCAGCCTGGAGCTGTTGGGCCTACTGAAGGGCCTGGCAGGGTGGTTGGACAGAGAGCGTGGGCAGCGTGGAGCTGATCCCTGCTGGTTCTGAGACAGCCCTAACAACCCACACGTCTCAACACCCCTGTTCTCTCGTTCCCAACCCCCCTATTCCCTTGCTCCCCTCTCTCTTCTGTCTCCAGTCTGGAGGCGGCGGGCCTGCTGAAGGACCTGGCGGGGTGGCTGGACAGCAGCGTGGGCAGCGTGGAGCTGATTGCAGGGACCATCGGGCTGGCGTCTGCTGTCATTGACAACGTGCCACTGGTGGCCGCCACCATGGGCATGTACGACTTGAGCACGGTGAGTAGGACGGGGTGGGGAAGGGTGGGGAGGTGGGGGAGGGGGGTGAGTGGTAGCAGTTGCCTGACGGGAAAGGCGGGCTAGCGACTGCCGTCATTGACAACGTGCCACTGGTGGAAAGGGCTTGCAAATCGGTATGGGAGGGAAGGGCCGACAAAGGGGGGATGGGAGAAATGGGTACAGGCACTGTGCCCCGCGGGTGGCAGCCATGGGGGCCTTGTGCGCGTGTTACTTCCCCCTCTTTTGACCATTCTCTTCTTCCCCCAATCATCCTTATCACAATGATCACCCCCCTCGTTCCCTCTGCGCCCATGCCTTGCTTGCAGTTCCCAGCGGATGCGGAGCTATGGCAGCTGATCGCGTACTGTGCGGGCACGGGCGGGTCCATCCTCATCATTGGGTCGGCGGCAGGCGTGGCGTACATGGGCATGGAGAAGACGGACTTCTTCTGGTACCTGCGCAAGGTGCGCAAGGCGGCATGGGATGGGATTGGATGGGATGGGGTGCACATGCCTGGTGCACATGCCTGGTGCATATGCCTGGTGTTGGGGTGCTACATGCCTGGTGAGGGCTCTGGTGCACCGAGAAGGGAACCGTGAGTGGGAGTGGCGATCATGGGCATGGGGAGAAGAGGTACCTGTGTGAGGGGAGAAGAGGGGCCAGAAATGAGATGAGGGGCTGTGTGCCTAGTGCCGTCTGCTAGGGTCACTGGGTTCGCACGATGGCGGGTCAGCGGGTTAGCGCATCAGCGGGTTAGCGGGCCTGCGGACTGGCTGGCTAGCAGGTGAGCAGATTAGCCAGTAAGCGGGGCAGCGGGTCAGCAGGTTGCCCTGAGCCAGATGACCGCTTGCTTGTGCTCGTTCTTCGTTTGATGCATGCCAGGTGAGCTTTCTTTCGCCTGCCCCCCTGGCATATCGGCATGCACTTGCTTCTGTTGATGCTCGTGCTGCACATGCTGATCTTCTTCCATTGCCTTGATTCTGACTGCCGGTGATTCTGCGTCTGTGTGTCTCTGTGAACCCTTTGTGCAGGTGAGCGGAGTGGCGCTGGCAGGGTATGTGGCGGGCATGGCAACGTACCTGGCAGGGGCATACGTCCCCAATGACCTCTTTGCCACCACACTCGCTGCCCTGCCCCAACTGCCCCAACTGCCCTTCTAAGGTCAAGCTAGCAGTAATCCAACCAACTCCCATGTCTTCTCGTCGATGAATACTCACTGCCGTTCACTCCCAGTGGATACTCCTGAGACAAGACCTAGACTTCAGGTTCAGGGGTACCGTACATTGGTAGACAAGTACCGGACCTGTACGTTATCAGAAATCCGATTTTCCGTTATAGCGAATCATGAGATGTTTTTCACTGGACACAGGTACGAGGGACATGCATATGAGGTGGATCTGGATAGTTTGCTTTCTGGAGCAGTCAAATGAAACTCTAATGGTGGAGTAGCATATGCTGTGCAAGTGCAATGCTCGTTGATGCTCAAGGATAAAATGGAACGTGCTTGGAAGCAGTAAATGGTATCAAGTACCAGTGCCAGGGAAGGACAGGCACAACTATGGGATGAGTGTAACAGATGAAGAGACCTCCAATAGTGAAACTGCCTAACGTCATACAGCAAGGCGAAATCAATAACGTTCCCTGGAAGACTCTTGTCGCATGCCATCACAGAAGGGTATTGGTCTCCTAAACATCACACACACTGCTGAGGCACCCGTTCTAGAAGCCACAGCAGCAGCAGCAGCAGCCACAAACCACTGTCAAGTCAACTACAACTAGGCTGAACTGCCAGCAGCAGCACCCAAGAACATGTGTGGAGTCAACTAGGCTGAGGCTGTCTGTTGCTGCGGGGCTGCGAGGGCCTGCTTGAGCTCCCCCGACTGAGCCATCTCCTCAAGAATGTCCGCCCCTCCGATGAACTCCCCGTTCACAAAGATCTGAGGGATGGTGGGCCATTGGCTGGGAGGGGAGGGGGGGGGGGGGGGGGGGTGCGCGGAAGGGAGGGGCAAGGCAATGAGCCAGTCAGTCTGAGCCATCTCCGCGAGAATGCCGGCTCGGCTCCCCTGATGAGCTCCCTGTTCACAAAGACCTGAGGAATGGTGGGCCTTTGGCTGGAGGGGACTCACGCGCGGGGAGGGGAGGGGAGGTGGGGGGTTCTCTCGCAAGAAGTGTGCGAGGCTAAGAGAGGAAGTTTTAGAGGAGATGCTTGTAAGATACTCGTCCGTCAGTGGGAGTCATCTCATCTCCTCTAGGGTGGGCGTCCGCTTCTTGAGAAGAAGGGAGAGAGAAGGTGAGGAAGCTTGAGAGAGGAAACGGGTGAGTCAGGATGACGCAGTTCCTTGAGGGTGCCTGTGGCCCGGATAGATTCCCCTGTGTGCTCCTCACCGCCCTCACCTGCACTCCCTCCCTGCCGCACCTGTATTCCTTGATGAGCTTTCGGCGCCGCGGGTTGTGTGGCCTCACCCAGCACATTCAGCAAAAGTCTCATAGTCCACCCTTGGAGTTATGCACCCCACCAGTGATCCACCAGTGTGCCAGCAGCAGTATGTGCATGCACTCCTTGCTACCCTCACCTGTTTTGAGGCGCCTCAAAACAACACAAGTGTGCCAGCAGCCGTATGGATGCGTGCACGCCAGCCCTCACCTGTATTCCTTGATGGCCTCTCTGAGCCCTGGGTTGTGGTCCTGGTCCAGCACGTTCCCTGAGGAGAGCCGTTGGGAAGTCTCTTTAGACCCTCCCTTCCACGGGCCCACTGCCTCCCTCCCTCCCGCCCTCACCTGTACTCCTTGATGGCCTCTCGGAGCCCCGGGTTGTGGTCCTCGTCCAGCACGTTCAGCGTCTCGTAGTCCACCCTCGCCTCGTTCAGCAGCGTCAGCACGCGGTGGGAGAAGCCGCACTGGGGAGAGATGCTGGGGGGAAAATGGGGGCGAAAGGAGGCGGAACAGTGGGGGAGGGGAAGGGGGGGGAGAGCATTGAGGCAGGAAAGAGGTTTGCAACCCCTCCAGTCCACCCGGGCTTTGTTCAGTAGCGTCAGCACGCGGTGGGAGAACCCGTACTGGGGGGCCGTGCTGGGGGGAGAAGGGGGCGGAAGAGGTGGGGGAGAGAGGGGAAGAGGGGGGTGGGGGGGAGAGGGAGGGGGGGACAGGAGAGCGAAGCAATGAGGCAGGAAAGGGGTTTGCAGCCCCTCCTGTCCTCAAGCATAGTTCTCAGAGGGCAGCAAGCTCCAGTCAGGCTTACAGCCAAAGGAAAAAACGGCAGTAGAAACTAGTGAAGACCTCTTGAGTACTCTTGGGTATCTAGGTAGGTAGGGACGTACCAAGTGTCTTTGATGGAAGCAACGACTCTGTTCTCCTTCACCAGCTTGGTGGGTCCTCAGACAGAGACATTCAGAAATCAAGAGCATACGGTGAAGGTTTGGCAGAAAGGAGGTGGCCTAGCAAACGTACCGAGTGCCCTTGATAAAAGCAACGACTCTGTTCTCCTTCACCAGCTTGTCAATGAGCTGCCCAGGCAGGGGAGAGGGAGGAGGAGGGGAGGAGAGGGGAGAAGAGCGAGGGCGAAGAGAGGGGAGACAAAAGAGAGTGGGCACGACGCTAACGGAAGCGTGTATTCTGGGTGATGCAAACACCACAAGCACAAGCACACCGCATGCACACACACAAACACGCACGCACGCACACGCATACCAGGCAAGCACAAGGCACATGCTCAGCCCAGAATACGAAACAGCCCCAGCACCCCACATAAGTGACCTCCCTCAGCACTAGTGAGATGAGCGCACACTGGTGAGACGAGGGCAATCCCCCCACCCATCCCCACACCAGTTCCCCCCCCCGCCCCCCCCCCCGCCCCTCCACCCCCATGCCTCACCTCGGTGAGCGGGATGGTGAGCTTGACGTGCGGGCCCGGCACGATGCGCAGGTCGGGCTTGACGCGCTTGGCGCGGCGGGTGGTCCACGTGGTGTTGCCACTCTCGTTGCCCGGGGGCACCTTGCCCGTGCCCGCCACATGCTCCTGCATCCACGCCTTCCACGCATCCACCAGCGCCGCCTTGTCCGTTGCTGCCACCACCACTAGCTGGGGGAAGGAGGGCGAGGGGGAAGGGGGAGAGGGAGGGGGAAGAGGGGTAGAAGGAAGGGAGGGAGAAGCCGGGGTGGGGGGGGGGGAGGTATGGGCAGGGAGGGAGAGGAGAGGCCGGGGAGCGAAGTCGGTTTGACATGAGGGTAGGAAGGAGGGGGGGATGAGCGAGAAAAGGGAAGAGGGGCGCACGCCACGTGCTGCTCCTGCATCCACGCCTTCCACGCCTCCACCAGCGCTGCCTTGTCCGTTGCTGCCCTGCCACCATCGCTAGCTGGGGTAAGTGGGAGAGAGAGAGAGTGGGGGAGGGGGTGAGCGTGGTGTGAGTGTGGGGGAAGGGGGAAGAGTGCAAATATGGTAAAGGACGGAAAGGGGCAGTAGCAGAATCATAGGCTGCGCCTCACACCTCCATCACCTCTCCCTTTCAACCCCATCATCCCCCTCACACCCCATCACCCCTCCACCCATTCACCCCTTTCCGCCCCCCCATCCCCCCCGCCCCACTCCCCCACCTTGACTGCGCCGCACATCTCTGGCAGGTCCTCCGCGTGCGCCTGCAGGCTCGCCGCCAGCCGCCGCGACAGCCCCATGTACTGCAGCGCGCCTGGGGGGGACGGGGGCGGAGAGGAGGGAGCGGGGGACGGAAGGCGGGGAGAGAAATGAGGGAGTGAGGGAGAGTGAGGGAGGAGGGGGGAGGGGGGTTGGTTTTGTGGAAGAAGCGGTAGGGGAAGGAGACTTATATTCTGGTTAAGTGACTCTTGAAGGAGGGAGGAGCGGAGGAGAAGCGAGGGGCCGGGGGGGACAAAAGCAAAGCGAATCCCGCGAGCGGCGCGTGGGGCAAGAAAGGCGTCCGCCACATTCGCGTTCCCCGGTCAACCTGCTGGTCCATTAATCTCCTGAATGTGCTGCATTCGCCGCCCATCCCCCTCCCATTCCCGCCCTTTCCCCCCCATTCCGTCCATCCCCAGTCCCCCCGTGCGCTCTCCTAATCGTCCCTCCTTTGCCCCGCGTGCCTGCTGTATCGTAGATAGCATAGATGCCTGACGCTGCGGGGAAGGCAGCCACGGCGCCGTCGCTGGCGAACACGGGCGTCGCAGGGGTCTCCTCCAGCGACGGCAGCGAGCACGAGGGCGTCGTCGTACGCGACGACCGCGTGCGACGAGAGTCGCTGCGCGTGACGCGGCGAGCGATCTCCGATCGCGAGGCGACGAACTCAGAGTGGAGATGCGACGTCGCACGCGTGGACGATGCAGCAGAAGAACCGCATCGTGTTGGCGACAACCCACATTCGGCGACAGTCGAAGCGTGCGACGGTCTGCAGGAGGTGGCGTGCGACAGGCTCACGAGCGAGCAGGGAACAGCCGAGGTTGCTGCGAATAACGCTGAAGACGCGACGGCGGGAGCCATGGTGGTAAAAATGGTAACTAATTCAAAAGAAGAGGGAGGAAACTAAGGGCTTGGGAGGTTCTATGATGGATGCTCGGCGAAGGGACAGGTTGGATGTCTGGTGTTGGCGACAAGGTGGCGGTTGATGGTTACTCGACTTTCACGAAAGATAAGTGGGTAATGTAGCGTGATGTACATAACAAAACAAGCTAATAGTAATTTCAAGCCTTGCATATAAAGAAAGCCAAGCCACGAGTACAAGAAAGCGGGGCACGCCGTTCTAGAGAGACCATCAGCGACTGGTTCAGCAACAAATAGAATGAAAAGAGTCCAACAGGTAGTTTGAAAGCACCCCGAGGTATTTGATCCCCAAGAAATACACCTGTAGATCCCAGTATAAGCCACCATGCCCCACCATCCACCACGCCCCTCCACCATTACATCACCACTGCACGGCATCACGGAAAAGCCCCTTCACATTGTCGCCAGGATAGTACCACATGTGCATGCCACCGAATTTGATTGCCACCACTGATGCAGCACCACCACACGCATCCCTCGCACCCGGCCTTGTGGCACGGGTATTATTCAGAGAGCAGGTTGTAGGGCTCATTGTATCACCATCAATGCTTGTACAAGTCAGGGAGCCCAATGCACCAGTAGGCGACGCGCAATTGGCTGCTGCTGCAGTGGTTGTGTGAGGCGTTGTTGCCGTATCTGCACCTCTTGCTGCTGCATGGCTTAGCCGTGATGATGACCCTTGTGTGGGGGATGGCACATGGTCGTCCGCCACAGGTTGTATGTCCATCGTTTCGATGCGGATGCCGGCTATATCCATGCGATGGCACAGCTCCTCCACATCTGCACAGCCAACAACAGGGTAACAGGGAGCACAGGTGCAAAGGAAGATAAGGTTATGGGGTTTACACTCAGGCTCTGCACACTCTGCACCTGACGGTGGGAAATATCAAACTCCGGAATCCAAAGCAGCAGAAGAGTTTGGGTGAGTTTGGGCGAGCCTGGGAGCACTTTCTTACCTTCCCAGTTCAGGCAGGCTGAATCAGCGACGTTGTGGCTTCCCCCCTCGTCCGTCCCTTCCTTCTCCTCAAGCCATTGTTCCACTCGCCTCACTTCCCCTGCCGCAACGTCACGCGCTGCCGACGCACATGACACAGACGCTGCTGACACCACCGGCGGTGCATACGCCACAGAATTTGCCAGGGAGGAGCATTTCGACACGACAGTATTCGTAGTAGTATTTACAGCGGCGGCGGCGGCGGCGGCGGCTGTGGGAGAGTCAAGAGCTCCCAGAGGCAGCGACGATGTGCGGTTCGGAAGGTCGCCATGGCGCAGGCGTTCAGCCACCAGCCGCGGGGGGCGTCTTCCGCCCCCCGCGGCGTAAGGCGCGGTGGAGACGCGGGAGAACGCCGCGCCCCCGTCGTCACCAAGATAATCGGCGGACCGTCGAGGCGATCTCGGCTGGGACGAGCTCTGCGAAGAAGTTGACAATTCTCCTAGTAAGAGCGATGGTGGTGGTCGTCGTTGGACTGAACAGGAAGCGCTGCTGCCACTACTATTACTTTTATCAAGTGGCGGCGCGTCAGAGCATGATTGCCTCGGAGATAGTATCCCTCCGAACACCACACTTCCAGTGCCAGCTACAGCGCCGGCGCCAGCGCAGGCGGCAATTCCGCTGCGGCCTCCCGCGAAGCACGGCACGTCGTTCTCGTCGATGGTGCTGCTGGCGCTGCCCAGGAGCGTGCTGCAGCGGGAGATGGGCGGCGTGAAGTCGCCATGGCGGCTGCTGCAGCCGCCGCCGCTGCCACTGCTGCTGGACGACGAGAACGACGAGCGGCGCCCGAGGGAGAAGGTCGAGATGACGGACGCCGCGTGCGAGCAAGTCGAGGTTGTGGGGGAGGACACGGAAACGGGAACGGGAACGAAAATGGGAACGGAAACGGAAACGGACGAACGCGAGATTGACGACAAGTCCGACTCGTTCTCTCGGAGCTGAGACCGTGCGGAGAGGACTACTGCTAGCCCTGGACCACTGGCGGCAGCGGCGTCTTCCGACAGCGGCACAGACTCCGACTCGGGCGATGTTGCGGCTCCTACGGAGGAGGCTTTGGGACGACTAAACGCTCCGACGGGCGAGGGAGGCTGATGCTTGGTCGTAGTCGTCCTACTGGCACTCTCCCTCCTCGCCTCCCGCTCCGACGACGGTTCGTTCTTTCCTGGAGATGACCCGTACACTTCCGCCGCCGCCGCCGCCGACGGGGTCGACGATAGAGTACTGGTGGAAGCAGTATGATGCGGTTCGTCGGCGCGGCGGGCGTCTTTCCGCCAGTTCTGCGCGGGGATCGGGCACACCTCGCTGGAGAGCATGCGCGTCTCTTCCGCCTTGCGCGCTGCCTCCCGCCAGTCCACGCACGGAATCGGGCAAATGCGCTCGCCGCCCGAGAGAAGCAGTTCCGGGCCGAGGTGGAACGACGAAGAGTTGACGGCGGCGCCAGCGCCGGCGCCGGTGGTGCGTGCTGCGCTGTTCTGGGCGCTGCTTCCCCCCGTCGCGCCGGCATTTGCGCATGATTTCACCGCCGTGACTCCGGTTCCTCGGTTTAGTGGCGATGGTGGATGCGACCGCTGCTGCTGCTGCCAGTTTTTCGGCGCGTCGAACATGTCAACTGAGAGAACGAAGCTCGACGAAGGCCCGAGCCCGCTGGGCCCGGATACCGAAGACTGGGTTGCTGGTGATGCCCGCGACGAGACGCATGTCGCCATTGGACGCGAGGGAATCGACTCGACTCGGAATTGAGGAAAGTGAGCTTGTGAGCTTCGCGCGGCGACGGTGCAATATCTAAACCAAGGAGAATGCGCTGGACAGCCGAGAGAAGGAATGAAGCCACACCTCAGGAGCCTAGATGCGGATGAAAGCTCAGACAACGATTGCAATTGGGGGAATGTGATATTTCTTGTAGTCACGAACTTACGAGTGTGTGTCGCAGGGGCTGGATGCACTTCTGTTCTGCTGGAAGCACACACACAGGACAGGAGAGCCGAGGGTGTCGGATAGGAATGAAACGACGCGGTTATGCCTGACGAGCAGGCCACCTCTTGCTTCAAGGCGCGTGCTGCAGACATTGGTAAAAAAAGCGATGCGGAAATAAAGTCTTCGGGCAGACGATAACTCTTCAAACCAGTCAGGTTAGACAGAAACCGCACCCATCTGGCGTTTCAAACAGCGAGAGGATAGAATGGCAGCCGCCCATCCGCCACTGTGGAGGGAAGATCCCTACACAGAAGGTTTGCGGCACGGCCTGTTTTAGGCACCTGTGGGGGCATCAAAGCTGGGGACGATGGAAAGGAAACGGCAGAGCAGAGTATACCATTTGCAATGTGCTTGCAAACAAGACGGACGCCGATTGGCTGTTTCTACGACCCAATGACGTCAAAAGCGCAATGAGATCTTCCCCCCCTCCTCAGTGAAGGCGACACTTTGTCCATGTGGCTTTGCCACAGCCTTCGTGGCTCTGATATGATTGATCGTCTGTGGGAAACATGACGTGGAAAGAGCAAAAGCGGCACTTTCCCTTTTTAGGGTCACTCGAAAACATGCGAAAGTTGAGGGCCAAATTTCCTGCTTGGGTTGGGATGATAGCTGTAATGTAGTCAACTTCTGTTGCCTTGGGCTGAGGTCCACTGTAGAGATACGAAGTTCGGTTTGTGATTAAAATAAAATGTTTTCTATGAAACCCAGTGGTGTACAGCACAGTTGTCGGAGCGTTTCTGGGAGATGGTCGGTTCGGTTCAGCTTGAAACAAACCATCGTAGTGTACTGCACTGTTTATTTCTTCATCGCACGCACGTGACTCGCAGGATGGCTGCCGCCACCAGCAACTTGGCTCTCTGGAGGCCAACAAGGTTCACGTGATATCAATCATGACTTCTGTATCTGTGAGATCCAGAACAACAAATCTGGATCTTCATTCTGCTCCAAGGAAACTACACATGAATTCCTTTTCTGTTTCAAGTTGTTTTTCAAGTGGGTGCTTCAGAATCGAGCACAAACTTTTCACGGGCGAATTGGGCCAATATAGGGTAGTCTGGTTACCTCGTTGGCATTTTCCCGTCTAAATCGGGTGAACATTGTTGTTTGTTTTGCGTTTCTCGGGCAGCAGTGTAAGGTTTGAGAACGTCCCGTCTGCACGTTTGGAGGCCGCTGCATCAGATGTGGTAAAGTTGCAAATCTTTGGGCCTGTGTCGAATGGCTCATTTCCCGTGTGTTCGAACCAAGAGGCCTGTAAATAGATTCGTAACAGTTAATGAATGAAAACTTCAATGGACGTCAGGTGTACTGGACGATAGAGGCACGCATATTTTTTTTGCGTGGTGCGTCCAAATATCCTCCGGCCAAAACAGCGGGCAAAAAGGGTTTGTACACTTCGGGGCGGGAGTAGCCGGACTATAGTCATTAAATGCGAACGGCGTATGTGCGTCCGTCTTGGTAACTGGCGCGAGAAACTTCTGACCCACAGGAAACGCTTCATGTTACAACAACAACAACATTGCACTACGTTTATGAGACAACACCTACAGAATTACAACACTTAGTTTACAACAGTGACACGTACTTCCAGAGATGACACCACATGTTCCAACTCCTGCCCAAGGCCACAATTTCAGCCTTCCCACGTTGCTTATGACGTTCACTGTCCACATGCTCATACTATCCCGTGTTAGCATCTGCCGCGCAGCTGAGAATCACAAACTCATAAAGAAACAGAAACCAGAGAGGCACACCTATCCACACACCCCTTCACAGACGCACACACATGATCTCCGCCGCGCCATCAAAGCTGTCCATCACAGCCGTCGCTTGCAGAAGTCGCTGGCAGGGTATGTCGCATGTCGCATGTTGCGAGGGGAGGTGTAACGTCTGCGGACGGAAAGCACCCTAGAGATTGTAAATGCATTCCGCTGCGCCTCTGGGTAACCTCATTTTGACCCAGTGGGTAGCGAGGCGTTATACTGGTATCAGAGCCTAGGGTTCGAATCTCGGCTGAACACATTTTCCACGCACGGCTGAGGTCGTGGCGAGAACTCGAATGCGTGAAAAATACAGCTGCGGTTGTATCCAGTCGCGAACCCAGCGAACGATTTTGGTAACTGCTGTGCATCACCAGCGAAGTCGCTGACTTGGACCACCAGCGAAACTCGAGGTCCTTGCGGGGGCCGATTCCCTGAGCCAACGAGGACGTTGGCGCCAGGGGGGGACAAGTGTAACGTCTGCGGACAGAAAGCACCCTAGAGATTGTAAATGCATTCCGCTGCGCCTCTGGGTAACCTCGTTTTGACCCAGTGGGTAGCGGGGCATTATAGGAGGCATGGGAGTGCGAGTACGGAAGGCAAACGCAAGAGCGAGAGGGAGAGTGCGAACGTGTGTCCAAGCGTGAAAAAGAGCGAGGGAGGGGAGGGGGAAAGAGTTTACAGAGAGGCCGTGGAGTTGGTAGAGTCTGGACTGCAGCAGCAGGAGGATGGTGGGAACGCCGGTGCCGTGTGCATCGATGGAGTAGTGCAGCGCCTCAGGCCGCACCCCGAACACTGACAAACTGCACGCTGGCACGCGACGGAACGATCGAAAGAGCGCGAGTGCGAATGCGGGAAGGAAGGGGGGGCGGAAAGAGCGGTGGGGTTGGGGGAGGGGGAGAGAGGGGAAGGGGGGGGGGGGGGGGTGGGAGGGGAGTAAACCGACGGCGAAACGACGACATGGTGAAGGCACGTAGAATAATGGGAATAGTAGAATGGCATTGGAGAGCGGGTTGGCCCAGAGAGAGAGAGAGCCCCTCGCGCCCGGTTTTTCTTTCTCTCGAGTTTTATAAGTACACGATCCGTACTGAAAACGCACAATTCACAAGGTACATCGATGCCGGAACTCAAAACTGGTGAGACGGGGCACCAGACCCCAGAAAAACTTGCTGGTGAGACGGGGCCGGAGCGCGATCAACGAAATAACAGAACGCCGAACATGCTGGAAGAGAAAGAATGTATGCCGGAAAAAAAAAAAAAAAATCCACAACAAAAAATGTTGCGGGAAAACCTTCAGTAGCCACGGGAAGGACGCGAAGGCAAGCACGGAGATAAATCCCAAGCGCATGCCATGCAATGTAGCAACGCAGGCGCTGTGTGGCGGGGATCACCTGGCGCTGGGCGGCACGGCGTCGACATGGGCGAGGAGGTCGTCGGGCAGGCCGATGAAGCCCTTGTAGCGGTCGAAGGTGACGTGCACCACGTGCTTCACATCGAAGGGCAACCCTATCTCCATCGCCGTCCGCGCTCCCTCTGCTCCTTCAACATCCGCGCGCCCGCCGCTGCTGCTCCGACATCCGCGCACGGCTGCTCCCGCGGCCAGTCCTAGGGGAGAGGTTTTACTGGTGATGTGCGAAGGAGGGGGAGAGAGATAGGAGAGGGAGACGGAGGGCGAGGGAGGGAGACGGAGGGAAACGGAAGGAAACGGAGAGACACGGAGTGAGACGGAGGGAGACGGAGGGAGACGGAAGGCAGACCTCGTGAAACACCAACAGGCGAGATCCTCTTGGCGCCAAGATTGGTGGGTTTCCGCCTGTCGACAAATTTCTCGCTTCATGTCGAGCGAAATCTGGGCCTTTCTGTGCAGGCGAGGCAGCCGACGAGAGCGAGGGGCGAACATGTTGTCAGTTGGGCGAAAGCGGAGCTGGATGGGGTAACAGTGTGTGAATGGAGGCTGTTCGGATAGACGCGGCTCATACCCACGCATTTGAAGTTCGTAGAGCACGCCGGTGAACTGCGCTGGCAAACGCAGACGTGTTCTTGCAGTTCATTCATTCGAACATAGGAATCTGTTCATACTAGAAACATCCGTGTCTACGTGGCGTGTTGTCAGCTCGTTGGCTGACGATAAGCCTTCTAGTGACTTCGCTAGGCTGTTGTTTTTCGCTAACGTAATCTACTGGACGAATCCTATTGGTTTCCGTGGAATCTGTGCGCTATCTTGTACAGTAAACTCTTGTGGGTCGTTTCATGTTGAACAGCGATTGTGCACATACACTAGGGGATAAGAGCACGGTGTATACGGCAATGGGTCCTTAACCGTGATTGTGCGACAAGCGCGGGTGTGTGTTAGGGGGATCATGTGTATAGTGTGTACAGTTCACTTCAGGAGAGGAATTGCACTTGTTTGTTGGCCAAAACATTGTGCTCAATCTCTAATTTCTTCCGGTTCCCTGCCCGGCGCGAAGACTCAGCAGGATTTGACTTGGGATGGTTGGTACATTCAAGATTAAATATGCATTGAGATCGCTTCAGATTCCTTTTGGTTCGTTGTCACGTCATTTCGTCGCTGCAAGAGGACCCTGAAAAGCTGGCGCCAGCTTGTGCACTTTACCGAGCCTCCCTCGGAAGCCACGCGAGCAAATTGAGGAAACTGTTCGCGAAATTGAGGTACACACAAAGCTCGTCAGAGTCGCACAAGATTTTAGGGTGCCGGGGATTCAATCGGTCAAGTATTTCACATTCCCTCGCCACGGGCAAATGAGGCTTTCGCACGAGCACACGACGAAATGGGTGGGTATTTGTGGGGGGGGCTTGTGTGGCGATGTTTGTTGCCAGTGTGCGACTCTTGTGAAGCGATCAGGCGACGGCGGTGCACAATTCCGTGGCAACGACTTGTCCCTTGCTATATGTTGGTCGTAGACACAATCATGAGTGACTCAAACGGATCTCCAATTGCCCGTATATCGGGGGTTTTGGGAACAGATTCTGATTGGGCGCCATGTTGAGCTGCGATAAGGTTGGGCATCGACTGTAGGAACGAATTTCATAAATCTGCAACAGATACCAACTGCCCAAGGGTATATGAGTATGATTAGGAGGTAATAACAGGGCAAAAGAATGACAAGGGTTTGGCGAGATGCACCCACAATCCCCAATACGATGTATTTGTCCTCCTCGTGTTTCTACGCTGTATAATCGTGGGTTGGACCAGCTGATTTTTTTTGCTAGGGCAAGGCAAATCTAGCAGGGTGGGGTCAGGCTAACGCGTTTTGTTTGGGTGTGGAGGCCTAGTACACCCTTGAGGCTGATGTAAAGTTGAACGCAAGGTGGACTCCGCGATTGAGCAAACGAAAGCATTGCGTCAAGTTTGTGTCAGATTTGCCAGGGAGGTAATCGAGGGGGGTGTTACCCTGACGCTGATGTCATCTGTAGTTGGACCTGTTTTGCAGGCATGTCGATGTAACTAGGTTCGGGTACGTTGTGCCAGGTTTGGGGAAAATTTTGTGGGCTGACCCTCGATCCGAAGCAAAATCTTGTGTTTTCGGAAGGTGCTCTGAAGTAATCTGCAATTCTTTTTTTGTCTACAGAACGCAGCCATTGAGTTGAGGTGCCCTGTTATGAAATAGAAGGTGTCAATAAAGTATAACGTGAGAATACAATGTCGCTAGTGCAATGAAGGCACGAGGTTGTATAGGGGTTGGCGTGCTAGGGCGATAACCTCGGAACGTGGGTAGGTTCGGCAATGTGGCAACACTGCCGGACGCGGCGCGGGAAAGGGTTGGGCCGACAAAAAAGGCTGAACGTGACGAGTCGAGGAGTTTGGGTGTACGCGGTAGCGTACGACTCAGTAAGGAATGGAAATTCCTTACATGCCTCTTGGACGGATCTATCGTGGATGGTAATGGTTCTTGCGCTAGAGTGCTACTTATACCACTCATGATACGGACATACATAAGTGTAAGGAAATTCCCTTTTCCTTACTGGGCTCAACTACAGCGCGTACGCCCTCGACTCTCGGAAGTCCAGGCCCGGCCAACTTCTTCTATCCCGAACCACTTCGCGAACCCAAACCTAGACGCGCGGCGCTTCCGTAGCTTTCGCAAACCGGACCGCCCCAACATGTTCGCGTGGTTCTCAGCTAGCTGTGTTCGTGCCGATAAATGCATAGGCCCTCATTTGTATCGACACTCTTGAATCACGACTCCTTTATTACACTACCTGTTACTGTATTACTCTGATCAATTCATAACAGCTGGTATCAGAGCTCCGTTCCTGCCCGCTTAGTCTTCCATAGAGTAGTCCGTTTATATTGGGAGAGGACCCGACAGAATAGAGGGTTGGCCTGCGTTTGGTAGGTGAGCTCGTTAAAGCTCCTCCAACTAGAAGCGTGTGCACCCTCAGATCTGTCAGGTAAAATTTCCAACATGCCTACCATGCCGCAAACTTTGCACGTCGTAGTGTTAGGAACGTGACTCAGGAGGAGTTTGACGACTTGCAAGCCAGGGCGGCTACAGTAACGACACTGCAGGCCCAGCTTCAACAACTCGCCGATAAATTCAGGTTGCTGGGAAGCGAAGTGCAGACAATGCGCAACAAAAACTCGTCACTTCGCCAGGCGCGGGGTGAAACGCGTCAGGGGCGGCCTGTTACCCGAGACGAAGATGCTGCGAGCGAAGCGAGGGCGTCCGCGACACCTGAAGTAGTTGAAGTCCAGAGCAAGCCGCGGGCTGCCATTAAAATCAAACCTCCGATGCCACCGCTGTTCAACCCGACCGACAGAATAACTACAGTGAGTGGTTGGCTGTTCGCCATGGAAATCTTCTTCACATCAGCAAGTATTAATGACAACGCGCCACGTGTCAATTTGGCTGTGTCACTGCTGAGGGGACTGGCACTCGATTGGTGGCGCATGCATCTGGACGAGGGAGGAGCCCTGGCAGGCTCTAGATGGGGAGCACTGTTTTTCAACGGCTCAAGCAGAACCGATCTTTGGGTCGGCCATGATCCGCACGTGGAAAGCGTGAGGCGAAGCATTGAAGAGCCGATTCGAGCACGTATCCATGCGCGAAAACGCTCGCACAAGGCTTCGGATGTGGATACAGTTGGGCTCTGCCCAAGAATACATGCCTTCGTTCTTGGCGCTATGCGATCAAATCGGAGGGCTTAGCAAAGACGAGAAGATCGATCACTACGTGGGTGGTCTCAAGCAAGAGATTCATATCGTCCTACGAGCCCCGGCAACATTCAACAAATTTGTCCGAATCGCGGATGCGCTGGACGCAAGGTGTGGAGTCGCGAGGGCGGGTTTACGGGAGGGAAATCGCTCTCGGGGTCAGCCCCAACACACATCAATCAACGTCGTGGACGTGCTTGCAGCTCGGGTATTTTTCGGATGCTGTTTCCATTGCAACCTGCCGGGCCACATGATGGGGGACTGCCCACAGCTGAAGAAGAACTTAGCTAACGATGGGAAGCAGTCAGGAAATGGAGATCGTCAGTAGCATATGGGCCACCTACTGACTTGACTGCATCGCCCAAATGCCAACACCCCCACTAGGTTACTGTATAGTGTCGATGTGGGCTATCGACCATTCCTTGTTGAATAAGGAGGGTGAACCGGTTGATCGCCCTGTGATGGTTGAAGGAAGAGTTGGCGACACCCGCGTCAAAATATTTGTTGATGGTGGGGCAAGCCACAGTTTGATGTATGTGACAAAAGCGAAGAAACTCCGATTGCAGCTGGAATGCTGCATGCCCGAAATCGACGCGAGGTTGGTTGACGGCACCCCACTGGCGATTCGGGAGTGCGTGCCTCACGTGCGAGTCACCTGTGGCGAAAATTTCTGCTTCACGACGAAGATGCCGGCGACAGCTTTGGACGGGTGCGACATGCCGCTGGGATGCGATTGGCTGCGTGAATACAACACGAGCATCACGTGGCGGACGGTCGATTGTTGCATTAAGTGGAGTGGTGAGTGGCGACGGCTACCCAAGTGGAGCATTCAAGTCTCGTCAACATCGACGGTCAGCACAGTGACTCTAAAGCGCGCGATGATTCGAGGAGCGCAACTGTATGCCATCCAATGGATCGCATCAACGGCTGTCGACACGCTGACTGACATCGACAAACTCTGGGCAGCTGTACCGCATGATTTGGCAACATTGATTCGGAAGCACGCCGACATTCTTCGAGACGACCTACCAGCGAACTTGCCACCTCAGCGGCCGCATGATCACAAAATCGAGCTCGAACCCGGCGCGCAGCCTACTGTTCGGACCCCAATGGCCGCTGACTCAGCCCGAGTTAGATGAACTTCGACGCCAGCTGGACTACCTGCTCGAGAAAGGTTTTGTCCGCCCCAGCACATCACCATTTGCAGCTCCGATCCTGTTCACCCTGATGAAAGATGGCGGTCTACGTATGTGTATCGACAACCGCGCATTGAATCGAGTTACCATCAAGTCTCGATACCCAATCCCTCGTGCAGACGACCTCATCGACCAACTTCGCGTGGCCAGATTTTTCTCGAAGATTGACTTGCGAGGCGGTTACCATCAACTTCGCGTGCACGAAGCTGACTGCTACAAGACGGCGTTTCAGATCCGGTACGGGAATAACGAGTACACGGTCATGCCATTCGGCTTAACCAACGCGCATTTGACATTCCAGTTGACCATGAACAAGAATTTTCGGCCACTGCTGGATAAATGCGTCATCATGTACCTCGACGACATCCTCGTCTACAGCACAACCCGAGAGCAACATTTGAAGGATTTGGAAGCAGTATTTTCTCTCCTACAGCAGAACCGACTCATCACCAAGGGCTCCAAGTGCAAGTTTTTAAAACACGAACTGGAGTTCTTGGGTTACGTGATTTCCATCGACGTTTTTAAAATCGACCCAAAGAAAATCGCGACAATCCAAGACTGGAAGCCGCCGGCTAATCTCCGTGAACTTCAGAGTTTTCTAGGGTTTGTTAGTTACAGTATGTCCGCCGTTTCATTCCGAACATGGCAGGGGTAACTTCCCCTCTCACGGACCTCCTGAAGAAGGGCACGTTTTTTTAGTGGGGGGGAGAGCAGCATGCTTCGTTCAAAAAGCTCAAAATTTTCCTGAATACACCGTCGTTTTTTCGGATTGCAGATCCTCACCGTCCATTCGAGCTCATCACCGACGCTAGCGATCTGGTCGTTGGCGTAGTCCTGTTACAAGACTTCGGTGAAGGCCTACAACCGACCGCCTATGAGTTACGAAAGCTGAACCCGGCCGAGCAAGATTATCATGTCCACGACAATGAGTTACTCGCCATCATTCATGCTTTTAATGTCTGGCGCTGCTACCTGACGGGCGCTGAAGTAATAGTCCGAACAGGCCACAAATCGCTATAGTTCATCCGCGCCCAGTCGACACTGAATCCCCGACAGATTCACTGGCTCGACTACCTCAAGTCCAATTTCCACTACAAAGTCACCTACAAGCAAGGGGTCAGCAACATCGCCAACGCACTGACCCGCCCCTCGGTCCACACCGCCGCAGTCCTAATTACCCAAGCTAATCTGCTGCTAACTAGCCTATTCACCCACGGATACAGTACTGACCCATTCTTCACCACTAACAGTCATCCCCAACTAACGGTCAAGCAAGGGGCCTATTATCTAAAATCCGGTACCTATCGGATTTAGGTTCCCGCCTACTGTACCTTACGGGAATAACTGATCCATGAGGCACATGACTCGAATTTCTCGGGTCACTGCGGCATCGACAAAACCGCAAAATTACTGAGCCGTAATCATTACTGGCCCGACCTACCGACAGACGTGCAGCTGTACGTCACCTCCTGTGCCACGTGTCAATGCATGAAGTCTTCCCTACTTCGACCTGCTGGATTGCTGCAGCCGCTCGAGCCACCCAGCCGGCCCTGGCAACAAGTGACGATGGACTTCGTCACTGGCTTGCCAGCTGGTTCAAGCGGTAACGACGTGATACTCGTCGTCGTTGACCGGTTGACCAAAATGGCCCATTTCACAGCCTGCAAAACGACAATTAGTGCCGAGCAGACAGCGAAACTGTTCCTCACGAACATCGTGCGGCTACTCGGCATCCCATCAGCAATCATCAGCGATCGTGACCTACGGTTCACGTCCAACTTCTGTACAAAAACATGGCAGCAGTACGACACACGTTTGCATATGTCTACAGCGTACCAACCGCAATCGGATGGTCAGACTGAGCGCACCAACCAGACGATGGAGCAGCTGATTCGCACGACATGCGCAGACCCAACCCAATGGGAAGACGCCCTTCCCTTGATCGAGTTTGCGTACAACGATGCCCCATCGGCCATGACCATTCAGTCCCCCTTCTTCCTTAATTACGGGATAGATCCAACAATCCCTCTATCATCACCGATAGAAAATCCGGCACCAAGGTCTCAGCAGTTCGTCGAAAATCTCCATCAGTCTCAGCAAAAAGCTGCCGATGCCATCCTAAAAGCCAACCAGAGGGCTAAGCAGCAAGCTGACCGACGACGCCGAGACTTAACGCTTGTTCGTAGGCAATTGGTCCTGCTCAACACCAAGAATTTGGGAATCCCCCTCCCAAATAAATTACGACCAAGATTTTGCAGACCCTTCCGCATCATTCGCATCGTGGCACCAGTCACCGCCCAGCTGCAACTGCCGACCGATAGGCGAATTCACGATTCGCTCCACGTCAGTCTTCTGCGACCGTTCGTCCTGAGTGCGACCAATCTCGATTGTCAACATATTAATCCTACGGTCAACCCTGTACCTGAGCCGACGACAACGCCATCCAAGATCCTCGCTCATCGCGTACAGGGACATTGAGACACAGGAACCGTCGATTTCCTTGTACGCTGGGTCGGGCGCACCAGTGACGACGATCTCTGGGTTCCCGCAGCCACGCTCGGTGAAGACAAAGTTGTCTGAGACTATTTACACCGACGACGTGTCTTGGATGTGGATAGTCTCATCCTGGAAGGAGGAGTGGTGTAAGGAAATTCCCCTTTCCTTACTGGGCTCGACTACAACGCGTACGCCATTGACTCTCGGAAGTCCAGGCCCGGCCAACTTCTTCGGTCCCGAACCACTTTGCGAACCCTAACCTAGACGCGCAACGCTTCCTTAGCCTTTGCAAACCGGACCGCCCCAACCTGGTCGCGTGGTTCTCGGCTAGCTGTGTTCGTGCCTATAAATGTCTACTCTTTTATTACACTACCTGTTATTACTTTGATTAATTCATAATAATAAGAGTGCTATTATAGCCTCAGCATTTGACTTCCATAGTGCCCTGGATTACACTTACATTCACTCACCCAATTTAAGACTGTCCAAATATCTTGATAGCTTAACTTTCTTTTATTATGGTGATATCCAAGAGAATCAGAACCAATGGGTATGTGGTTTGGTGTCCATTACTACAATGTTTGATCAAAATGAGGTCTAGGGATTATATATTCACCTGCTGCATCGAAACATAGTATGTGGGAATCACCGCCAATGGTATATGGTCTGGTGCGGTGAAGTGAGGTTGAGATCTTATAGGAGGGTGTGTGCATGCTCTAGTTGTACTTGAATATTCAAGACAACGTTTTACAATACAGTACACTTCGCATCGCAGGTCGCTGCTCTGGCTAATTCTTTAGCCCATTATCGAAGCACTGACCCACACCACACCGTTTCTTCGCGAAAAGCATTCTTGTGGCCTGTCCCAGGCCCGAACCGCTTGTGCCAGAGATTTTCTCTGCCAAATCGCGTCGCACATACGCGCCACGTGATTCACCGCACAGCTGCGCGACAAATTTCCTGCAGCAATCACCCTCCTCCCCGCTCAATGTTTCCCCCCCTCCCCCCTCCCGTCACCGCGCCTGGCACACAGAAACCCCGTCGACTAGAAATTTCGAGTTGGTGGCGCAGTCGCCGCGTCTCGTTTGCCAGCATGTCCTCTTGACCCCCGAATTTTCAAGCCAGCCCTCTTCGACCCGCTGCACCGAGCACTTTCTTTGCGCGCACAGATTTTTGTGCCCGCCTGCGGCCCTCTCTGCACGGTCGCTCCCGCACTGTGAATTGCCAGGGCCCCGAGGCGCCTGGGACGCTGACAAGGACACACACAAGTCCTGCTGTTTGTTCCTCTTGCCTCGGTTGAGCTCAAATCCCGTTGTCCATTCACACCCGAATTTGATCATACCAATATTCGCACATTCTGGGAGCTTCTCAGAACCCCAACATATGCTTTTTTTCAGTTAGGAGCACCCCCGCTGAGACTCAGCGCTTTCCTCGATCTGTTATCAGTGAACGGCAAAGACTTTGCCTTGTCAGTTCTTCGTATCGAAACAGAAGCAATAATCCCCGACCCGCAACCATGCTTCCGAGTAAGTTTTTCTACATCCTCCTCTGTGCGCTCCTCGTCGCACAGATTCTACCATGCCTGGCTTCCCCAGATAGCCACCAATCCGTCGCACAGCGTCACACACTGTCGCAGCGACGGTTCCTAGACGCGAACGAGGACCCGTACGCCGACCTGTACGACTACAAGGACTTTCCCACAGACGATTCGCCCGACGACGGCTCCGCGCTGGTGATCAAGGGCGTGACCGACGAGGACCCTGACGGCGACGGCGTCGGCGACGTCAACATCAGCGACAGCCGCGCCAACGGGCTGCTTCCGCTCGGCACGCACGGCGGGCGGGTGCCGTACCCGACGAAAGACCCGCTCCCGCCGACGAACGACACCGTCACGGACGCCGGCCGTGGCGTGGAGGGCATAGGCGGGGGCGACGTGTGGTGGCGCAATAACTCCGGGAACGGCACCGCCGCTCCGCCCTCGTCGTCTCCCCCGGGCCCCGCTGGCGGAGATAGCTCGCCTGGAGAGAACCAGCAGAAGCAGGAGCAAGGCACGACTGGCAGCAGCGACGGGACCTCCAGCAGCGGCACCAGCGGCGGCGGCGGTAGCAGCACGAGCGGATTCAGTAAGTGAGTTGCCAACGGTGCCTAGCAAGTGAGAGGCTACAGGAACTAGACCAAGCTGTACACAGTGCCGCTGATGATCTTTAGGCGCAAGCGCCTTCGTAAAGATATCAGCCGTGTTGGCACCTGAGGCCAAGTGTACTACGCGAGCCTGACGTCGCTGCTGTAGCTCACGCAGGAGGAAGTACCGCAGCTGAATGTGCTTTGCTCTGCCCTCGAGTCGAGGCTCCTGACACAGGAGGATCATGGCCCTGTTGTCAGCGAACAGGACCGGGGCAGAGCTAGGCCGCTCACCTAAGTCAGTGAGCAAGAAGGTCAGCCAGCGGAGCTCCTGTGCCGCCATGGCACCAGCGTAGATCTCAGCCTCACAGCTGGACTGCGCTACAGACGAGGAGCGGGTAGCTCTCCACGAGACGGCAGCTGAGCCAAGGCTGAAGCAGTAGCCCTGGGTAGACCTGAGCGTCTCAGCGTCGTCTGCCCACGAAGCGTCTGTGTGTCCAGTAAGGACCACTGGCCTGCGTCCTCCTAGCACTAACCCCATGCCCGATGTACTAGCAAGATAACGCAGAACCCTCTTAGCGGCAGACCAGTGGTGCGGTCGGTGTCTGCTTGTGGCCACAAAGCGAGCCAGGATGCTGAGAGGGTATGCGAGATCTGGGCGAGTGCAAGTCATCAGGTACATGAGGCAACCCACCAGCTCTGCGTAGGGGCCGCTGGGCTCTACCAACTCCTTAGACACTGGAGCAGAGAGCCTGTGGTCTACTGGCAGAGGGGTGGATTGTGCAGAGGAGAACTGAAGGCTGAACCTCTGAAGGACCTGGCGCACCAAGTGTGACTGAGTCAGGGTGATGGTGCGCGCAGCTCTGTCCCTGGAGATCTGCAAGCCAAGGTAACGGCGCAGTTCTCCAAGGTCAGTGCACGTGTGTCTCTTCAGCAGCAGTACGAAGGTAGTCAGACAGCGGGGGGGGCGCAACAACAAGGGAGGACGGAGGAGGTGACGGCAGAAGGGGAGGACGAGACGCGTGGGAACGAAGCAACATAGGGTGGGAGCGCAAGACAGGGGAGGCAGGACGAGCACGGGAGGGACGGTGAGACCAGACGTGCGACGGAGGAGTCGGGTCAGGAGACAGGGGAGGGGACACAGGAGGGGAACGAGGGGGGAGACGGGCCGGGGACGAGTCCGGCGGAGGGAACACAGGGCCGTAGACAGGAAGAGGAGGAGACGGTCGGGGAGGAACCGACGCAGGGTCGGGGGACGGAAGGCCGAGCAGGCGAAGGGCGGACACCGGCGAGGACTGCTGCTGCGGCGGCACAACGGCGACACCTGGACCGCAAGCTGCTCCTCGGCTACCACCGGCACTCTCCACACCCGCACCCCCAGAGGGACCACCCCCAGGGCGACCGGGACGAGCACCCCCAGAGTCAACGAACGGGTGCGGCGACGACGGCAGCGGCGGCGGCGGCGACAACGACGACTGCAGCGGCGGCAGAGGCGGTGGAGGCGGGGACTGGGGAGGGGACACCGGGGAAGGGGCGGTCGGCGAGGACTGCACAGGAGGGCCACCAGAGTCAGAAGACTCCTCAACCGGGTCCACCGACGGAAGGGGGGTGACGTGGGACACACCAGAGGGGGCGGGACGGGGAGGAGGAGGAGGAGGGGCAGGGACTACCGGGGAAGGAGTGACCAAGAACAGGGGGGGGGTAACCGGGGGACCACGGTGGGGAAAGCGACGGTAGTAGGAGACGGACTCGTCAAAGGTGACGTCACGAGAGTGAAAGAAGCGGTGAGACGGCGGGTGGTAAAAGTGCCAGTCGGACGCGTCAAGGGGAAAACCGAGGAAGACACAGGGAAGGGTGCGGGCAGTGAGCTTGTCCGTGCCGGAGGCACGGACGTGAGCAAGGCAGCCCCAGACGTGGAACGCTGACGCGTCACCAGGAGACCCAGTCCAAAGACGGGTCGGCGAAACCTGCGGCTGCTGAGGGTGCGGCCACAGGTTAAGCTGGTGAGAAGCGTAGCGCACAGCGAACGGCCACAGAAAATGGGGTGCACCGGCATGGATCATGGAGGTGCGAGCGACCTCCATGACCAAACCGATGCGTCGCTCAGCGACCCCATTCTGCTGTGGGGAGTCCGGTAGGGTGAACGTCTGGGTGATGCCCTCCGCACGACAAAAGCGACCAAGGACACCTGAGGCAAACTCGCCACCACGGTCGGAGTGACGACGCAAGACAGGGAGACCGCGGTGGACACGCGCAGAGACAAGCCAGGGGATGAGGGCGCCAGGCACGTCGGCCTTGCGCTCCAGGGGAAAGACTGTGGTGTATCGAGTAAAGTCGTCGACAAGCACAAGGAAGTAGCGCTCGCGACGTGGCCCAGGGACGGGGGCGGGGCCCCAGACGTCCAGGTGCAGGGTCTGCAGCGGCGCGGCGGTAGGGGGAAACGAGGAGGAGTGAGGGGCACGGCGAAGCCGACCCTCGACACAAGGCGTGCAAGGTGGGGCTGGAGAGGAGGGAAACGCGGGGAGCGAACCCGGGAGACCAAGGACAAGACCGTGCTTAGACATGTGACGCAGACGCGGGAGCGCAGGGTGACCTAGGCGGTGGTGCCACAGGAGGGTCGGGTGAGAGAGGGAGCGACAGGAGCAGGCAGCAGCAACTTGGGTAGACGCAGCCACCTGAGGGGGCGCTCCAGCCGGGGGGGTCACGGTGTCCAGAGTGAACAGGCCGGACACCGGGTCCCGGGGGAATGTGGACAGGGGGGCACCAGTGGCGGCCTCGGTACAGATAGCATACCGCTCGTGACCAGGGAACGTAGTGGTGACGCCAAGGTCCTGGAGGCAGCCAACACCAACTAGGTTCTTGGAGAACGAGGGGATATGCAGACCTGTAAGAGAACCCGAAGGGACCGCCGGACAGGGAAGGGTGGTGGAACTGCGGGCGACTACCGGACCGCCGGAGGGGTCAGCAAGAGAAACGGCAGCAGGAACAGGAAGCGGCGTCAGGGTGGTGGAGTCGCGGAAGAAACACCGAGAGGCGCCAGAGTCCAAGGTGAAGGAAAGCGAAGCCGAGAGGTCTGGCGACGGAACGACGGCGGAAGCACCAAGACTACACAAAGCAGGGGATCCTACGCCTGACGCAGCAGGGGAGGCTAAGCTAGGCACACCTACACTAGGCAACAGTGAGTAATAAGCGGGAAGCACACTAGAGTCATCAGCATACAGCACATGCAGAGCAGAAACAATAGCATCCATGTCCATATCAAAAATCTGAATCTGACGACTAAGCAAATTGTGCCAGTCCGGGAGGTCTGGCGACGGGCCGAAGCGCTGACGAAAGAGGTCGTCCAGGCGACGAAAACAGCGGGGAGTGGAGTGACCGATCTTACCGCAAACGAAACCGCGGCGAGGACCGGTCTGGATCTGGTACTGACAACGCCCGCCGCCAGAGCCACCACGCGGCACACCACCACGCGCCCGGCCACCGCCAGCGCCGGGCCACCCTGGCGGGAGAACACTCGTCTGCCGCGTCTGCGACGGCTGCTGCGGCTGCTGCGAAGGCTGCGACTGCGGCGGCTGCTGCGGCTGCTGCACCTGCAGGGGCGGCGACTCAGCTGAACTGGGCAGGGTCCCCTCGTCCACTCCAGCACCAGGCGACCCGACCCCACCACTACCCCCGCCCGCACCCCCGCCGCCTCCTCCGCCGCGCCCAGCCTTGGGGCGGCGGCCCTTCCCTGAACGGACCTGCGCTGCAGCAGCAGTCTCAGCCACTGCGGCAGAGCCGTCGGAGAAGGTGCACTGAGCGGGGGCACAACCGTGAAAGATAGGGACCGGCACGACACCGCTCGCCTGGGCAATGGAGCGGTGACGGGTCTCTATCACAGTCAGGGTGTCTACAAAGTCAGTGAGGGTGAGGTCTGCGGGGTGAACGCTAAGAAAGCGGTCGCGGGCGACAGCAAGGCGGTCAGGGAGGCGGGTGGCAAGCAGGTAGAGGGTAGAGGTAATGGGCGGCTGGTGGGCTCTAAGCTGGGCGTCAGTGCAGGCAGCGCGCCAGGTCTCATCTATCGAGCGCAGGTGGGCAGCGAGGTCAGAGACAGTGGGGAAAGATGCAAGGTCAGGAAAGAGCATCGGAAGGATCAGGCGACCCACCGAGGCACCCGGAGGGGTGGAATAGCGCTTGATCACAGCATCTAAGTATGCCTGAGCAGTAGTGAGGGACCTAAAGCGAGGACGCTCGGATGGGGGAAGGGCGTTGCTAATGGCAAGATGGGCAACAGCATCGCGAGAAAGCCAGACAGAGCGCGCACGGGCAGTGGCAGCAGTAGACTCACGCTCAGTGGGTGTGGGGTCAGCGGGCAGAATAGCAGGGGGGTCTGGGCAGGGGAGCGTACCGTCAAGGTGTGCGGAAAGCGGTTCACCATCCTGCCGCTGGCCAGTGAGTTGACGGCGGAGGTCGGCAAGCCACGCCTCGAACTCTAGGGGCTGACCTTCAGCGTCGAAGCGAAGCTCCGCCGCCATCAGGAACAGTCCAGTGCAGTGCAGGGCAGTGCAGTGCGGTGCAGTGCGGTGCAGTGCGGTGCAGTGCGGTACAGTGTGGTGCAGTGCGGTGCAGTGCGGTGCAGTGCGGGGTAGTGCGGTGTAGTGCGGTGCAAGGCAGTACAGTGTGGTGCGGGGCGGCACGGAGCAGGGCGGGGTGGGGGGGAACCGTACCAGTGAGGAGGACGGGGCCGGGGCTGGCCCGACGGGGCCGGGCGTGCGCGACGGGGCCGGGCTGGTGCGACAGGGCCGGGACGGGGCGACGGGGCCGAGCGGGCGCGACGGGGCCGGGCTGGGGCGACGGGGCCGGGCGAGTGCGGCAGGGCCGGGCCGGTGCGACGGGGCCGGGCGAGCGGGACGGCGGCCGGGCGGGTGCGACGGGGCCGGGCGGGTGCGACGGGGCCGGGCTGGGTGGGACGGGGCCGGACGGCTGCGACGGGGCAAGGCAAGGGCGACGGGGCCAGGCGGCTGCGACGGGGCCGGGCGGGCGCGACGGGGCCA